CTGTGTGCCTCTGGGGGACGGGACCCCCTGGCAACGAGACGTGTGCGTGTGTCCACGGTGTGCCAGGTAATGAGCCCCTCGGTGCAGCATCGGCTGCTTTACTCATCCACCGCCTGGAGCCATTAGTCACCATCAGAGCCCGGAACTAAAGCCACAGACGCTGTCAACACGAATGTTGTCGCTTCTCCAAAGATTGGAAGTCAGTGACTGAAGCTCTTGAAATACACACACACCTACCCTGTTGTGCACAAGTACAATCCCACGAGGTCGCCTGCTTTGCCGTCCACTCTGTTCAGTTTCAATGTCATTTCATCGCAGTGTCACCAGTGGAGGTGAAAGCGTAACAATGTGGTGACCTGAACCTGTGTTTCCCTGTCAACCTCTGACCAGACCCCCCCCCCCCCCCCACTCGTCCCCCCGGATCAATAGCAGCGACTGTCTCTGTTCTGGTAAAACCCTCATAATACGGTTGAATCGACTGGTTAAGGGATTAATAGTCGCATTGGAGCCGCTGGCACACTATGTGCTCTATTGATCACGTTTGTATAGTCTTTGCCGTCATTCTGGACGGAAGTGAGGGATGATGATGCCTCTGTGTGTTCGTGTGCGTATCAGGATTAGGAAATGGAAGAAAGAAATATGCTCCAGAGCCACGTGTTTGCCTCGGTTGCCTTGGCAACAACCGAGCGGACAAAGCAAAGGAGTCCTTGAACGCCGAGCGAGTGAAAAGAGCAAAAGGGAGACTGTGCGTGTGTGTGTGTGTGTGTCTGTGTGTGTCTGTGCTTGTGCGTGCGCGGGACTGCAGGAACACAGCAGCGTTTTCTCCCGGTCAGGAAAAACATCAGATATGGGACGTCGCGTTTCCTCCGTTTGTGCGTCGGCGCAGTCCCAAGCGCCGCCACCAATGCTGTCACGTTGTTCCCTCTCCAGCGCTCAGGCCGATGACCGGGTGAGAGTGGAGCGGAGGGACAGCGCTCACTTCCAGTTCGCGTCGGCAATGAACACAGCCACCGAGTTCTACTGCCACGCCCCGGAGAAAGGTGTGTTTGTCCTCTTTGCCCCCCAATCTGTTGCTGCCAGTTTCCCTTCAGTGACTCGCACACACTGGGGTCGCTGCTCAGCAGCAGCACGCTGGATGTGTGCGAGTCGCGGTGCCCGTGACTCCCGAGTGTGGTCCGTTTGTGAGTTCTGTTAAGCGCGGCGTGCACGTGGGTGTGTGTCCCGCAGGCTCCCGCTCTCTGTCGAGTGTAGCGTCCTTGGAGAGCCCGGTGGTCTGCTGTCTGGGTCCGCTCATCCAGTACCTCCAAGAGTTCAACTTGGAAAGAGTTCTGAGGGCAGAAAGGTACACACACACACTCACACACACACTCACACTCACTAAGCAAGACAGTCTGCAAACGTAGTTATCAAGTGTTCCTGTGTGCTGGTCATTGAGATCCTGGGTAGATTTGAAGCCATAAGACAATTAATTGTCAGAGACAAAAATATCTATTTTGATTTGTTCAACAACTCAAGTCACTTTTCAAGCGAAGCGCTTTGTGTTGTGGACTTTTGTTTGAACAAAGACATTTAAGGACGGCACTGTGGCCTCTGGGAGGTTGGGATGGGAATTATCTTTAGCTATTTTTTGCCGTTTGAAAGACTGAGCTGCAATTTATTTCAAAGTGAAATTGCAGTGAATTGAAACAAAATAAAAAAAAGAATCATTACTTGCAGCCCAAATCCTGGAATAACACGTGTTTTACTCCTTATATATTTACCACATAGCTTTTCTCTAAGTGAACCATTTTGAGGTGAACTCAAGATTTACAGGAACAATTTTCCTTCTTTTTTTAGTTTGACTCCATTGTAAAAAAGACGTTATCTTTATTTAATCTGTTCAAATCGTCGTAATCGATCATTGAGGTCTGCTGCTGCATGTGATGTGATTCTGTGGTCGCGTGCAGCTCATTCCGACGTCTGTCCGGTGAGTCGGAGGGTATGGACCTCAGCGCCGCCACCCTCAGGAACCTGGAGATCCTCAACAATCAGGTAACTGCAAGTGCATGTCGGTGATGATTCACCCAATAGTAGATGTTTCCGTTCATGTCTGTAAAATGAAGCCTGAAGATAAACAGACACGCCTCATTCTCTATTTTAGCGAGCTTTCAGCACCAACGCGTTGACAGCCGTAATTCAGCTGACAGTCACCTTCCCAGAGCAAATGTCGTTTCACACGTGCGTCAGGACTATCCGGATTGCGCCTGTGCATCATCTTGTTGCTGCGGTTGACCAGCGAACTGTGAAAATAATTTAACGGATGAGTTAATCCGTCGTTGCTCGGATCCCAAGAAAATGCTCAGTGACGAGTCGGGCTCGCGTGGGCGCCGGCTCAAAAGTTCAGCACGACTCGGCTGCTGCCGCGCCACGTTCGTTCAGAGTTCAGACGCCGTTCAAGCCACCCCCCCCCTGACCTCTTGTGGCCTCCGTCACCCCGCTCACCTCTGACACTCGTTACATCATCGGCTTAAAAAAAAAAATGCAAAAAGCTCTTCCCCCCCCACTGAAGAAATGGCTGCGTTCTGTGTGCGTTGTTCGGGTGGCAGACAGATGGCGGCGTGCGGGGCAGTCTGCTGTGGGTGCTGGACCACACTCGCACTCCGTTCGGGAGGAGGCTGATGAGGAAGTGGGTGAGTCGGCCCCTCACAGACCCGCGGTGAGTACAGGACACCCTCTGACCTCTGATGCACATGCAAACACTCACGGTCCACTTCGTTAGGTACACGTCGCTTGTTAAAGTTTGGACCTCCTTTTGCCTTGAAAATGGCCTTAATTCTTCCTGGCATACTTTCAACACGGTGCTGGAAACGTTCCTCTGAGGTTTTGGTCCATATTGACATGATATGATGGTCATGTTCAAGAAACCAGTTTGAGATAGAGCTGTCAACGAATATTCTATATTTGAATATATATTCAATAGTTGTTCAAAACAACTATTCAAATGTGAAAATTTATATTCAAATGTAAAATGTCTGCTTAGCGGGCGCGCTGACTACTGGCTGTATTGCATGAATAAAACAGACTGGATCGGCTACAACAGCTTCATGCACTGGTTTGGTTATTTGCCGTTTCATGCCGCGGAAAAGTTCCGTGTTTACAGCACAGATCGGTGGGAGCGTTGAATGTCGGTACTGTAAAACTTTCAGTTTCAATCACCGAATGAAGCCTGACGTATTTGGGACAAGAATCGCGACCTTAAATTGCTCGCACAAAACTCTTGATCAGCACTCAGCATTTGCTTATTGTTGTTGTTCATTTAAACCGCTTTGCGCAGAGAGCGCGACGGTTGTCTTGACCTGCATTTGGTTGCGGTCATGTGATTGGCTGATTATCAGTTTTGTGTTAACAAGCCATTGAACAGATGTAGCTAATGAAGTGGCTGGTGAGTGCATATAATTATGTAATATATTATAATTCGGCTAGACCGTGCCACACAATTCTGTTTTCTCCCTGTGAGGAGAATCACAGAACCACCTACTTGCCCAAGTCAAGAGTCTCAGGCGGCGCTAATGGTGATTTCACTTCAATGGGCCGAGAAATATTGATTGGAATCTTCATCGACAAACAAAAGACAACAATAGACTAAAATGAAGCATCTCTCTGATTTTCAGAAAAATACAATAACGATTGAGACCTGAATGTTGCCGTGAATGCATTCTACTAAGCAGCATCCCTCCAAGGCTGTTTAGCATCAGTAGTAACAGAGAACTCTATTATTTTTAATTGTAAGTAAACCACAAGTTCACATCTGCGCTCTTATTAGGTTTCATATGACAGATTAAATACCATGTCAAACCCAGAAATAATGCAAACCTGAAGCAGAAGGCCCTATTACTAACATTTTTATTTATTTTTGTCATGTTTTGATTCACGGGTTGACTTTAATTCCAAAGTCGAAGGGGTGCAATGCAGCAGCCACAATGTGAAAACCTTATTTCTTTACACAGCAATTGTCCCTGTTTTTCAGAAACCCTTCAGGGTAATAACAGAGAGCACGTTTAAGGTGACTCACAGCACCTATGGTACAAACAGTACCAACACTTATATTATTGCTGTACTCTTCCAGTTCTCCTCTCTGCAGAGTTATTGTATTATCCATATATTGATTGTGTGTGTGTGTGTGTGTGTGTGTGTGTGTGTGTGTGTGTGTGTGTGTGTGTGTGTGCAGGGATCATGGACTGCTCTCAAATTATACAGATAATTGGTCTGCAGAATTTCATCGTCATATAAAACCAGGACTACACGGAGGCCCATTAATGCCAACACACATGATGCAGCAGCACAGGACACACACACACACACGAACATTCATGATAGAGTGCGAGTTCGATGTTTAATCTTGACACAAGTCAGTGGCGTTTGGATCCAACCATCAGCAGAAGGGTTACTATAAAAGAATACGGTGATAAAACTTTCAGAGTTTCAGCATAATACAGAAAACCTCGTAGTAGCTCCCTTCAGAAGCGGCTTGACTTCAAGTTGTTGAGGCGACCGCGGCACGTCACATAAACCAATTTGACAGTTATTTGAGAACGCACAGCGCCTTTCAATCACCTCCCATTCAGCTCTCCGAAAAAGAAAATGTGTTTTGCACCCAAACTTTTTCTGAATGTCTCTCTCTTCTTTGGTTCTTTTTTCCTTCGTGAACCGCTCAGGTCCATCGCAGAGAGGCAAGATGCTGTGCAGGAGATCCTGGAGTCGCACTCGCTCACTTTGAATTCCGTCAATTCCCTGTTGTCGCATTTGCCCGACCTGGAGAGAGGCATCTGCAGCATATACCACAGAAAGGTGAAAAGCAATATCAATGAAATCTCACAAACACTCTCTTGCCCCCTGGACGATATCTTTCATTCTTCTGTGTCCACAACCTCGGTCTTATTTTTGTAGGGCTGCCAATCATTCAGTTCTGAAAACACTTCTGTCAAACTGAGGTCTTTTGGCGTAGTGACAGGCGAAATCTGCCAGGAAAAGAAATATACAAACTACAACAAATTTGACAAGGGCCCGTTGCCATTTGCATAAAAATGAAAACCGAGACCATTTCCTCCGATTCTCCCACTCACTTTCTGTCTCTCCGTCTCTCCCCCTCTTACGGAGTGTTTCTTGATTAACATCAGGCAGCAGTCGCCTCTCTGGCACTTGCCTGATTGTCTAACACAATCTCATTTCCCATTGGACCCATTTTTGAAATGTCAAAACCATCCCCCACCTGTGTGTGTGTGTGTGTGTGTGTGTGTGTGTGTGTGTGTGTGTGTGTGTGTGTGTGTGTGTGTGTGTTGTGTGTGTGTGTGTGTGTGTGTGTGTGTGTGTGTGTGTGTGTTACGGAGATGATAGCGGTCCGATGGTCTGAGATCATGTTCAACTTTGTGACTCCCTCGTATCATGTTAAAAGAAAACAAATGTCACTGAATACACACACACACACACACACACACTGAAGGGCCCTTGATTGTCTTTTTGCCCATTTGTTGATGAATGTGCCTGTGTGTAATGGCCTGTGTCTCCACGGCTCCACCATGATGGGAGGAAGGGCGCGCTCACAGTCTACGCTCGCTGTCTGTCTGGGTTCATAAAAGAGCATCACGAGGGCTGCTGGCATGGGGGGGGGCGGGGGGGGCATTTGGACTGCAGCATGTGATGAATGCCATAAACCAATGTCAGTGGGACTCTCATTAACCTTTCAAGTGAAGCCCCTGCTAAGTGAAGCCAACACAGAGGTGCTTTAATCTTGCATTTTATTTCTAATCTCCAGCAATTAGAGACTCTTCCGGTCGCATGAGAAGTTTGATTGTATAGACGTCTCCGGAGCCTATTTCTCACCTGTTTCCTTCTGTAAACATTAACAGCCTCAATCTCTAATTTCACTTTGGAATGTTTTTTTGCAGATACTTTTGAATCTGACTGGTTGCCAATGTTCGTTTTTTTTGTTGCCTTTTGTCATCAGTGAAACATCACAGCAATGAATGTGAATAAACGCTGGATCTGTTTGTGTAGGTGTCACGCAGTGAAGCAGTGTTTATCTTCTCGGTGCCGTGTGGTGAAGTCGTGCGGACTCTGCTGCTGCTAATGAGGGGTGTCTCTCAGAGTTCTGCCTGTGACGGATGGTCGCTGTTCAAACTCGGCTGCCATGAGATTTAATGATCTAATCTAGGCGGTTTGCTGTAAACCCAACCGTCGCCTTCGGATCAACTGCAGCTTTCCTCGCCGTTCAACCGCTTTACGCTTCATCAAATCATGTGCGCATCTTTGTGGGTTACAGTCTTCCACGCAGGAGTTTTACCTCATTAGCAGCGGCCTTTCCCGACTGGGGAGCGAACTGCAGGCGTTGCTTCCTGCCGTCCGGTCACAGATCAGCTCCGCGCTCCTCCGAGGCCTCTTGTTGGAAACTCCTGACCTGCTGGCTCCGGCCCACGGCCACCTGAAGGTGCTCGACGAAAGGGCCGCCAAGTGAGTCTCCGAGAGATCACGAGAGGGAGAATCCGGAAAGCGGTGTCTGCAAGTTGTTTGTTCCTAAAGAATGTGGTCACTCAAGTCCACATTTCATCATTTAAATAGTTTGGCTGCTCTGGCAGATATGTAGTGATATCTGAGGTTATAATATTGATTTGATTGATCTGTCTATGCATTGTTTGGCCGACAGCATGTCAAACTAATGAAAAATGCCTGCCACAATGTATCTCCATTATAAAAACTACTCTCAATTTATTGACTTTCTTTCAACTATATTGACATTATCTCAAAATAAAGAAATGGAAAACTTGCAGCAGTATATCTTTACTTGAACCTAAATCCTGAAGCTACCATGCACGCTATTATGCTCAAAGCTTGGCTTGTTTACGATATCTCAAATGCTTATTTCACTGCCGATGGAGTTGTTTCTCCTGAACAAGTACAAGCTGTCCTGTATGGTGTGTCTGTCCCCTCTGCGCGCTCTACAATGTTGTCACATTTGGACTCTTGCATTCTTGCGTAGGACAGGAAACAAGACGGAGCTGTTCTCAGACCTGTCGGGCTTCCCGGTGCTGCAGGAACGCCGGGAGCAGATTCAGGCCGTCGTCAGCCAGATCCAAGACCACCGCAGAGAGATCCGCCGCGCGCTGAAGGCCCCGGCGCTGGACTACGTCACCGTGTCTGGACAGGAGGTGCGTGCGTGCAGGCGTTTGAGGCTGAGAGTGAAAGACAGGCGGGAGGAGATTGATGGTCTGATTCGGGTGGAGGAATGAGTCACGGCGATGGGCTGATTGTCTGCGCGTGCTTTTCTTCTCGTGTCTGTGTTTGTCAGTTCTAATCAAGAGTGACGCACTGCTTTGTCCGTCTGCTTCTGTCGTATTTATCAAAGTCTTCCTCATGCTCTTCCTCCCCCTGCCCTCAGTTTCTGATTGAGGTGAAGAACTCGCTGTCGTCCATTGTTCCACCTGACTGGGTCAAAATCAGCAGGTGAGCTCACGGTTGCAGCACACACATGCAAACCGAAACATCCTTTTTCTTATATTATAGTGGCACTGGGACTGACTTGAATGAGCTCAATTGTGTTAAATACCACGTTCGAAATGATCTAACATGCTTTCTAGTGCAGGAATGAGTCTTAAAAGCCCTACGTGAAGCAGCGTTTTGCACTAGTCAATGCAACTAGAAAAAAAACTCTTAAGGAAGATATTGGCAAACAATGAGACTGCAAAATGTCATCTCGCAAAGAAGAGCATCTTCACAGCTTTGTGATAATCCAATGGAAACAATTCCATTAGCATTCTCTTTGAAGGAACCAGTGCTATCTGCGGGCTTTGAAGATATCAATATACTGAAATGCGGTAGAAACATCCACTTGGGTTCGAACATGTCAAAGGTCACTGTGACCTAGATCACAACAACTCGTGACACATAAACAATTTGTAACACTAATAATTGTACATGTACAGTGTCATCTGAGATTGAGCTGCATCATTCTGTAATGTATTTTTTCACTGACTGGTGCTCTGATTGTTCAAATTGTATTAATTGGGATACGTAAAGTTTTTTCCAATGACAACAGCTGAATCACAAACCGAGGCAGTTAGAGAAAAGAAAATCTAACAAATAAAAGACGAGTAAAAGTGTAGTTAACTGTAGGTAACCATAGTAATACCTATGCTTAAATGTAAAATGATAATGGAACTAATGCTATAATGGTTGAAAGCTGCATTTTGGCGGTCCTCAACATCACTCTCTCTTTCTCGCTGTCCACCTTAACCTTGTTTCATTCAGATGCAGCTGAATAAAAAAAAAAAAGAAAGCGCTGATTGTTAAATCTTCAGGCAGTGATCTAATAACAAAACTAAAAAGAAATGCTGATACAAGCGTAGTAGTAGCATGGACAAGTTTGAGACAGAAAGAAGCAGTTGATACATATTGAAGCTCAGTATAATGGGGCCTGTTGTACCTACACTCGCTGGCCACTACATTAGGTACATCTGTTCGATGGCTTGTTAACACAAATTGATAATCAGCCAATCACATGGCCGCAACTCAATGCCTTTAGGCATGTGGACAGGGTCAAGACATGCTGAGGTTCAAACCTCTGTTTGAACGTCAAACCCCATCAGAATGGGGCAGAAAGGATTTAAGTGACTCTGAACGTCGCATGGTTGTTGGTGCCAGAGTACGTCACAAACTGCTGATCTACTGGGATTCTCACACACAACCATCTCTAGGGTTTACAGAGGATGGTCCCAAAAAGAGAAAGCATTCAGTGAACAGCAGTTGTGTGGACAAAAATGCCATGTTGATGTGAGCGGTCAGAGGAGAAAGAAAGGCACCAGTAACTCAAACAACCAGGGAATGCAGAACACCATCGCTGAACGCACCACACGTGGAACCTTAAAGAAGACGGGCTACAGCAGCAGAGGACACTCCACTCCGCTAACAGGAAACGGAGACCACAATCCACACAGGCTCACCAAGACTGGACACTAGAAGATTATAAAAATGTTGCCTGGTCAGATGAGTCTCGATTTCAGCTGCGACATTCAGATGGTCGGGTCAGAATGTGGCATAAACAACATGAATGCATGGATTCATCCTGCCTTGTATCAACGGTTCACGCTGCTGGTCATTTAATGGTGTGGGGGATATTTTCTTGGCACACTTTGGGTCCCTTAGTACCAATTGAGCACAGTTTAAATGCCGCAGCCTGGTTATTGGTGCTGACCAAGCCCGTCCCTTTACGACCACAGTGTACCATCTTCTGATGGCTACTTCCAGCGGGATGATGCACTATGACACAAAGCTCATATCATCTCAAACTGGTTTATTGAACATGACAATGAGTTCACTGCAATCCAATAGAGCTCCTTTGGGATGTGGTGGGACGGGAGATTCACTTGATAGATCTGCAGCCGACAAATCTGCAGCATGGACCAAATTCTGGACCAGAATCTCTGAGGAATGGGTTACACCTAGTTGAAAGTATTCCACAAAGAATTAAGGCAGTTCTGAAATGAAAAGGGGGTCCAAACTTTACCAAAGGTGTACCTAATAAAGTGGACGCTGCGTGTTCGTATTCACTTCCTCCTCGTATCTCCCCCCTCTCCTCCGCAGCACCAAGGCCGTCAGCAGGTATCACTCCCCATTCCTGGCGGAGCGCTACAAGAAGCTGCTGCAGCTCCGAGAGCAGCTGCTGCTAGACTGCCAGAGGGAGTGGACCAATTTCCTGGAGTATGACTGACACACACACACACGCGCACACACACAGGGACACTTGATCAGATGGTCAAATGGAAAAAACGCTAGAACCATGTCAGAGAGAAGTCTGCTCGTCTCTCGTCTGTATTGGTCGAGTCGTCTGCTCAGGACAGTACGCACGTACCTTTAATAACACTTCCCTCTCTCTCTCATTCCGCAGTCAGTTTGGGGAGCACTATCACACCATGAAAAGGGCTATTAGTCACCTAGCAACCATGGACTGTCTCTTTTCATTGGCTGAGGTGGCGAAACAAGGGGACTATTGCAGGTGATGTCCTCTCATGATAACCGTAAATATTGGTGTGTGTCTGTGTGTGCACACGCGCCGTTTTTTGTGTGAGAGTGTGATATAACGTGTGTGTGTGTGTGTGGGTGTCCTGTGTCGTGTCCTATAGTCTCAGACAGGCTGTGTGTGGGAGTGTGCACCAGGCTCTGCAATGTGCTCAGCCAAAACGCCAACATCTCTCCCACACTCACACGCTCGCACACACACACACACACACCCTTTATACTGTCCATTTTGTTACAATTTTTGTTACAGCTTCACATCCATCCACAACTTGTTCCCTCTGCTTTTTGCAGCTCCTCTTTACACGACTATCTCCTGTTTGCCATTACAAGTTTCCACTCGCGTGTAAACATGTAGATTTGCAGCCGGTTAGCTAAGCATGAACACCGGGAGAACAGAGGCACAGCTGGCCTGGCTTTGTCCGAAGCTGTGAAGAGTAAAAAGAACATGTTGTAGTTTAATGAGGGGTCACAGTATTTCTTAGGCCGGGAGCAGAATGTGTTTATAACTTGTTGCCAGGGAGTTACTTCTCATCTAACTACAACAAGTCAATAAGGAGATTTACTTCCTTTAAGGAAAGCAGACATCCGCCATTTTTTTCTGTTAATTTTAATTTCTGTTTATGTAGAGTCTGGCCAACTATCTACTAGGCCAATATTATTGTTCAATATCAAAACAGTTTCTATGTTGGCAGATATGGAAAATATATTACAGAGCAGTAAATAGCAACCCGTGTTTCACGGTTTATTCATTCTTTTATTTTAGGTTTTATAACATTTACTTTTTGCGCATTTTATTTGCATTATACTTTAAATAAAGTGATTGATTTAGTGCTTCTATTTCTTATTCATCACTTTATATTTTTAATACAGGTAAAGAAATGCAATAGCGGATTCTAAATAACCATAACTATGCAACATATTCATAATAAAATATATTGTGCATCATACCTGGGTGGGAGTAAGTTCAAGTGCTCATGGTGTCAGTTTGAGTGGTCATTTTCTGTGTATGTCTTCAAGCGATTGTGTAAGCCATGATTGTTGTGTACTTGCTGATTGTATTGTCTGTATCCAGGCCAGAGGTGTGTGAGGCTCAGCGTCAGATTATGATCCGGGGTGGCAGACACCCTGCCATCGCCCTACTGATGGGAGAGCACCACCAGTATGTGCCCAACCACACCGAACTGCAGGTACCCACACTCGCACGCAAACACACACACGGGCTCATTCGGAGTGCTTCAAACTAAGTTGAGCCAAGACAGACATGGACGTTTGTTTGCTCATTGAGGCACTTTTGCGACTCATTTGTAACCGCACTCGCACACATAAATACACACACCATGCACACACTTCCTCGCTCAGTGCGGGAGTGGGTGTAGGTTAATTTTGCAACAGAAGCACAAGCCAATGGGAAAAGAAGCCAAGCTTTCAATCCACCCACCTCCTCAGCTGTGCAGGACAGCATGCAAATATCTTATTCTGTCTCTCTCATCGCCTTCTGTCTTTGTCACTGTTATTCTCCTCTCCTCTTTCACAGGGCGATGGCAGGAGAACTATGATAATCACTGGTCCTAATATGGGGGGTAAGAGCTCCTACATCCGCCAGGTGGCCCTGATCTGTGTCATGGCTCAGATGGGCTCCTACGTCCCGGCCTCTGAGGCCTGCCTGGGTGTGCTGGATGGCATTTATACCAGGTATGACCACCAATATACATCTGTCTTTTGTTGTTCGATTTAAAGGTGCTTTTAATCAGGAAAGTGGGCATTTTGATCGCCTCTCAACGGCTCTCAACAAGCTGGCGTTGCCATCGGTGCTAGCAGCGCTGACGGTATTAAGCTAGCCGCATTTACCTAATGGGGGAACTGGAGGGTGGGTGCTACACCTCCACGGCAAAGCAGTCGATATCGGCTGTAACCGCCGTACGGGAGCGATTCAGAGCGGCGGCCATGAACGAGTTAGTGGAGCACGCTCGCATGCACTGAAAGGACGCACTGTTGGCCGGTCCACAAAGCCGGTCCCGTTACCTTCCAAACGCCCTGGAAATCTTCTACTGCTTCTTTCGATGTGGCCATATCACTGATGGCTTACTAATGTTGCATCATTGATGAAAGGACTCAAATGATATGCAGGAAAGCTGAAGGTCTGACATTATTTCAAATGATTGCACTCATTGGTGAGACAACAGGTGACCCTTGTGGAATTTCATACAATGGATATAACCTGGTAAAGAGATATCAGATATGGCCTATTTATTATTATTTTTCCCCATTGAGCGACTTATAGGACTATTCTCTATAGCCCATTATTGTAAAATTATCTCAGGAAGGAACAGAGGTATGTGGACATGTGGATCCTTTGACTGGTGGGATATATTGTAAATATTGTTTTCAAACTTCCTGGTGCTGTCTTAATCTGGTTTCAAATACTTTTAATAAAAGATAATTTAGAAACAAATTCCACCAGGAATTCATCTGCAGCACTTGTTGAAATTGGTCTCTACATTTAATAATAACATGAACACCCAAATCTGGTTTGCCCACAGAGCACACGGTCAACAGACTATTTCCTTCCAAAGGAATTTTCTAAATCAGTTTTAACTGAACAAGTTGGCTGAGAAGATTTTTTTTTTTTTAAATAATTTGATGAACTGACACTCAACTGGGAATCCTCTAGCTGGTGAATTGGCATCATGAACCGTGTGGCTGCCACAGACACACAAGATGAATCAAATCATTTGGTTCAGCTGCATAGAAAAGGGGATCCAATTTGTCTCGATGACACCAATGTCTTTGTGTTTATTTTTCTTGGCAAGCACATTAAAGAAGAGACGGACATACAAAATGACTCATTAAAGATTGGTTGCTGAGAACACATCATACATCTAGTGATTCATGTAAAAGCAGCAAAACAAGCTACACCGTTTCTTGCTTTTTAGTGATGAACACAAGAATCGACACCAGAGTGACTTTCCCCAGCTTTGTCTCCGTCAAATAGAAGACAAGGATAGTGACCATGACAACACTGATGGAGCACAACACACCTTCGCCGCTGCAGATCAGTTCACGTTGGTCCAGCTACACACAAAACGGTTCGGGCAACCTCATTTACCCCGTTTCCCATTCATTGTCTGTCACATGGCCCGGTTTATTTCTAGGACTGACCCTCTGACTAATCCTCTCCGAACACACTGCTCCTCGGCGCTCAGGAGGAGGAGGTGTGTGACGGAGAAAAACAAAAAGGACTTGTCTCTACTGTTCCATCATGGTGCTGTGCGACAGCTTTCTGTGTTGGAGGAACCCTCAGACAATGAGGCTTTGTTGGAGAAGACCCCCCTCTCATCCCCCACACTGGTGGTTGTTCACATTATGGTGAGAGCAGCAGTGCTCTCTGCATGTCGTTTCCAGCCCTGACTACGTATTATTGTGGAACACAGGCCAATATGCTGTATGGTCTGTTATTCTGCCTCTGCTGCACTCTGTGATTAGACTAATTGCTTACAGATGTGTGTAATTGTCTTCTTTTGTCGTTGGCTTTAAGAATGCGCTTAAGTATTAACCCAGTGGGTGCCAGAGCCCAACAGTAGGCGTGTGCCTGTGCGTCAGTGTATTGTACCTGGACTTCAAAATAGAGTTGAATTCCTTTCACATATTCAAGGCCTGTACCAGACCCTGCGTCGCCATCTGAGTGAGAAGGGGACGTACTCTCCTGGTGTTGTTCAGCATGCATCTGCAGGAACGTGTTGTCTCTGTGATGGTGGCCAGTGAGGGAAGGTTGAGGTTCCTAGCAGTCAGGGCTCGGGTTAGGACGGAGTTGTTAAAGGTAACAGTGAGATCTTTGATGGAAGAGCCTTTCCCCGGAAGGAAAAGAAGTTTAATCTTGTCAAGGTTAATTTCCAGGTGGTGTGCAGTCATCCACTGAGAGAAGTCAACCAAACAGGCAGAGATTCATGCTGCTACCTGTGTCTCAGATTGGGCAAAAGACCGGCTTAGTTGGGTGTCCTCAGCATAGCTATGGTAGGAGCAGCCGTGTGAGCGGATGACACCCAAGTTGGTTGGTGTTTAGAGAGAAGATGAGGGGACCCAGTACAGAGCCATGGGGCACCCCAGTGGTGGAAGGACGAGGTTCAGACACAGATCCTCTGCAAGTTACCCAGTAAGTCTGGTTGTTGAGGCAGGATCAGAGAAGGGAGAGGCCAGAGCATGAGACACCCAGTTCCTGAGGGAGGGAATAAGGACCTGGTGGTTCACGGTGTCAAATGCAGCCGAAAGGTCAAGAAGGATGAGGACAGGGGAGAGAGAGGCTGCTTTGGCAGTGTGGAGTCGCTCAGAGACAGCAAGGAGGGACGCCTCTGTTGAGTGGCCTGCCTTGAAGCTTGACTGGTGAGGGTCAAGGAGGATGTTGTGGTGGAAATAGGAGGAGAGTTGGTTAAAGATAGGTCTGCGTTTTGGAAAAAAAGAGCAGAAGAGAGAGAGGCCTGTAGTTGTTAACTACAGACTGATTGACGTTAGGTTTCTTCAGGAGAGGCTTCACTCTTGTCTCTTTCAGAGAGTTATGGGAAACAGCCAGTTGACAGGGAAGTGTTGATCAGATGGGTGAGAAAAGGAAGGAGGTCAGGAGGAGAAGTTGGGTTAATTAAGTGGACAGATGAACTGATCATCAACACTTTGAGATGTATTAATGGTAGTACAAAACATGTATGCAAAACATTTGTTTTTTATTCATAGATTCTAACTCAGGATGCTGTGTATTATAGCCCCATGTCACCGAGGTGCCCCAACTGTTTTGTAAGAAAAAACAATCGTTAAAAACAACTTTGAATTAGTAGGAATTGCTCAATGAATTCCCACTGAGGTGTCGGGCGTAGTCGACGCAGTGCTGGGAATTGCTTCATCTTGTTGTGTGTTTATGAGCGCGAGGGGAGACCGACATGGAGTGAGAGCCTGTGAGCGGAATAAGCGTACCCTGTGGGTTTTGAGGTAATGAGATGATGCGTAGGTGTCTAATGGGATATCCTGTCTGAATTGATCCAGATGATTAATTGACAATGAGGGAAATAATCTTGAGATTGGGTTAAAGCAGCGTGCCGCTTCACTGAGTTGTTTCATTTTCATGCCCATTACTTTATGCTAGTGCATTTACTCATTTTTGTACAAATATACCATGCAGTTATTTTAACGTAATATCAATCTGTGTTTGTTTTGTTACAGACCTCTGCACAGTAAACCTTTAGTAGTAAATAGTAAACCTGTTGCAGATGGATACATACGTGTATGTGCAGATCTGCGGCTGCTGCTGTGTGCGTTTTCTTTCTTTTTTTGTCGGCATCGAGTCCTGAAGGTTATAGAGCACATTCTTTCATCCATTCATGGTTGTTATGGAAACAGCAAAGGAAAGCTGGATGTATAACAGCGTTTTTGAAATGTACCTTTAATCGACCATGGACTCGTAGCAGTGATTATGGCGTGTTTTACTAAAGTCCACAAGCGCTCCTCCACTCAGAATATATTCTTCTATTTTTTCTTTTGTGGCCTACAAATAGGGCTGATTCCCATAAATACCTCCCAAACAGTTGTAAGTGCACTGGGGCCTTAGGGTCCCCCATCATCACCTATATTGGTGTGAAACATGTTGACCGTGTGGAAGAAAGTTGCATCCTGAGAGTTCTTTCAGTGCTGCGGAGTCAGTGCTTGTGCCATCCAAGAAGGAAAAGAAACTCACACAGCATATGTGGAGCCGCACAGGCAGAATAAACCAAAGGTTAATGTTAGAAAATGACCAAATGACCGATTGTGCTGATTATATGCTGTACAACAACAAAAGCAAATCGAAGAAAAGAAAAAAAGAAAAACTATGAAGCAATCAAAACCGCTTTGCTGGATGTTCCAGGCTCATCCCTAATATTGTAAATGTTTTTTTAATTTTTTTTTATATGCAACTCTGCAACGATGAACGCTTTAAAAATCAACGGCACTAATTTCTTCGGCAACTCAAGTTATGCAACCTTGAACAGACACACTGGAAGACACGTATTGTTGCCGAAGCTTCCTTCTCTGTTCGTACTCTCAATAAAAACCGGACGCAGCAGGTTGAGAGGGGGTGAGAAGGCTTTTCTTAAAAGCTTATTTTAGGATCTCAGTTGTCATCAGAGACCAGAGTAAACTTCTTTGCTCCTCCAAGTATCTTTCTTCATTTTACAGGCTTAGACCTTTTTTTCTTTTCCTTTTTTTTTTTTTTTGAGAGGAGTGATGTCATTAGGTACTAATAGTAAAAAGAAAAAAAAGCAAAGAGCCATCTGAGAGCAACAAGTGAACCATGAGCTCCAGAAAAACGTTTGAAATGCAGCTACTCATTTTTCCTGGAGAGGTGTGAGCCGCCAATGATGAATGATTCTATTTTCAGTGTCGGGTTATTTGGCGGGAACGAGGAAGGACATGCAGAGCAGCGGGACACCCAGCTGGTGGAGTGTGTCTGTGTTTTTGCTTATCAGTGTTGTGAAGGACTGATTCTGCCGTGCAATATAGATCTGATATTTATAATTCCCCCTGAGCCTTCGCATACGTGCGCTCGCTCAAACTATGAATTGGCTAATGAAATGCAGCGGCATGTCTGCCACACACCCCGTCCCCGTGGCGTGTGGCGTAACTGTGGTAACTGGTGAGCTCCTGTCGACGGGTCATCGATACCATGCCGCTATGTTGAGGGACAATCACGGCAGGAAAAAGACCGATTTAGAGGGGAGAATAGAATACAACGTGTCGTCATTGTGTCTCTGTAATCAGTGATGTCTATTGATGCCGGCTCCACGGGGGGCAACGTCAATAGTGTTCAAGGTAGTCTCGTTCCACTTTTTGATTTTCTGTCACCATACTCACACATTTTGCATTGAGGAGTTTCATGTACAGAAAATAACATTTGGAAGTCTGCATCAGTTCTGTTTGTGAGGAAATGGATGCACGCCGGATAAAGAATTGATAGGGATGCAGCACCAGTGTTGTCAAATTATTATTCAATTATTTCTCTTTTCAATATTCTTGTCGAGCAGCTGCTGAATGAAGATAAATCCTGATTCATGGGAAAAAAGGAAAGGGGGAATTTGACACATGACTGGGTGTTAAACCCAGTTAACCTCACAGGGGAAAACATTGGTAAGCAAGTTGTGGAAACCCCTTATAAGAGTAATGTTGAGGGTTCGAGGTCAAACGTTGAAAAAGAATGAATAAAATCTTGAACACACCATTTCCAAAACTATAATGATTGCGCAATCTGAACTCTCTCTCTCTCTCTCTCAGCCTTTCCCCTTTTGACCTCTGACCTTTCACCTTCTTTCTTTGTTTAAACCTCAGGATGGGGGCTTCAGATAACATTTATAAAGGCCGCAGCACGTTCATGGAAGAGCTGACCGAAGCCTCGGGGATCCTTTTCCGCGCAACCGATCGTTCATTGGTCATCCTCGACGAACTGGGACGGGGAACGAGCACCCACGATGGAATCGCCATCGCCTACGCCACCCTGGAGTACTTCATCAGAGCTGTAAGTTTTTGTATGTGTGTATCCATGAAAGAACACGCCGTGCTGCTGACTCGGGAATACGGCTATTTAAAGAACTGGCACTGATAGTACTTTTGAGTAACAGTTGGTGTAAAATACTAAATCACAAATAATCTCCTTGCTCGATCTCCAGGCCGAATTCACCGTCAAGTGTGATTTTGTTGTCTGCTCTGCAGACCGCAGTGATGGTTTGTTTGGCAGAGAGGAATACGAGGCTCCAGAGGCTCTTGAAACCTGAGCAGATGTGTGGAAAGACTTGATCTATAATGTTAATAATCTGTTGGAGTGCAAGCTGAAAGAGAGCGAGAGAGCGAGCTAGACCTAATGTTGAGGTGTTCAATGGACGTACATCGTGCTGCAGCAAACCTCATTTGATTCTCATGAAACTCACACGCATAATCGTGCCTGACGACACCTCGTCCAGTTTTGCGTGTCTGAGCACATGTTCCTCGCTTATATTTTTGGAAGGGTACAATCTTAGCCGTCAACTGAGGCAGAAGGCCGGAGTGGAACTGGTGCAGAGGCTAACGAGCGCTAGAAACGTGTGGCTCTCCACATGCGAGTACTTGGAACCACTGTTCCTCGGAGAGGGTGTGTGTGTTGTGTGTGTGTGTGTGTGTGTGTGTGTGTGTGTGTGTGTGTTCGTTCTGCTGGGATTATATCAGCAGTCCCTTTCGGGTTATTGCGCTATAGACCAGTGGTGCTCCAGTGGTGTTTGTGTTTTAGTGGACGTAGTTACCATGCTATTAGACATCGGCGAGTCGATCGTTGTGTCTGCACCACCAGCACAGAACTCCCCGTGGTACAGTTTGACATGGGGCTGCCTGTTTGAGGCTGTGGTATCAATTAGGTCACGCAGCTGTTCCTTTTCTTTGCTGTTGACACGCTCAGTATCTACTCTTGAATGATGTAAACTGTAAAACCTCTTTTTCTTGTTGGATGATTGTTAGATTGTTAAATACGCTTTGACACCTCTGGATAAATAATCACCAAAAGATGCAATGATTGAAATATTGCTTATTTGTAATATGAAAGGTGTCACTTGCCGTAATGTTCTTCTCACGTTCTCAGCTTTATGGATAGTTTTTGTCTATTTTGGATTTGACTCTGCTCTCATGAACCTTATTAGCTGAAGTTCTTAACGACTAGCTGTTGACTATAACAGAGCAGCCGAAGAGACAAATCCTTCTCAAGAGTTTGTGAAGACCAAAACTGGATGAATAAAATACATTCCTAAATATCTATCAACTGAATTGGTCCACGCTGACTTTAGGGAGCACGTATTTCATTTTGCACTTCAGGAACTCTGAACTCTAAAACCCTCCGATTCTAAATTTGGGGCCTCGTGGTGGTTTTGAGAGCAGCTCAATGACAGATAGCATGGATGAGTTCCTGGAGTTTTACCATTGAAATATATACATACTCCAGTGCTGCTTTCTGGGTATTCAAAGCTTGCAAGCCGCATCTGATCTGTGTGAGCTGGTATTTGTTTAATTTCTGTTTTCCAAGGCCTCAGTCAAAAAGGCTCCGAACTGCTCCGCGTTACCCCCGTTAAAATATAGATGAATAAACATTTATCTTTGAAACGCTCCTTCCACTTCTCGTGTTTTGCCAGTTCCACATTAATCTTTGGAGGGCATCTCAGTTGTTATGTAATCCTGCTGGAGAACGCAGAATGAAAACGTGCAAGTAGGAGCCGCTGCCGGCAGCAGGAGGAAGCTCTCTAACTACCTGTTGTATAACACCATTGATTTGTCAGAAAAGGCCTGTTATTAAAGGAAAGACAAACGAAAGAAGTTCTGCTGCGCGGAGGCCTCCTCGCTCCTCTTCCTCCTACTCGTCCTCCTCTGCCCCGTCCTCCCCTCATCCCTCCTCGCCAGACCCAACTGTTGGCGTCAAAGAGTCGGACTACTCCTCCTGTGACTCGGTTGCCATGGCGACGCACCAATCCCTGCACCCGAGAGGTAGTTGATAATGTAGATGGGTTTCATAACACCACTCGATAAAAGAGACAGCCTTGACGCAGGCAGAGAAAAAGAAACCGAAAATCAGGGAGAGCGATGAGCACAGAGAGAGTTGTGCCAGAAGTCGGATGGGTTTTTACGGTGAAATCACAGCCGGCACACAACTGGCTGTGACCTCATGCGTCTTTAGCCGGTACACTCACTCAGACTCTCCTTTTCATTCACGCGGTAACAGCAGGTCCTGTGTTAGGTTTCGCACTAAGCTCATCAATGGACGTCTCTGCGCTCGCATGTGACTGCACAGTCATTGTAGCACTGCTCTGTAAAAAGACAACATTAACAAAGAACAGGCAGAATCGGGTCCAGCTGAACACCTGGACTCGCAGGAGAACCAGAACGCACTAGAACTTACTTTTGGATGCACGCTAATGGGTACGTTTGCATGACTCCACGTGGGGGTAAGCGGTCCGATGCGCTGACGCACAAAGATCCTGCCAAGACCCGCGTTTGCTCCGCTGACTGCGCACTGCTTCCTCTCTGCTCGGCGCCCGAGTCCGTCTTTTCTCTCAACTCACTCCAGCTGTGGTTCCAGCTATTGCAGGAATATTTTTAGGGTATTGATATCTACCTGACCTGGGTGAAGGGTGGTGGACGGCGAGCATCTCTGTGCCAGCATCCAAAGGCATCTCAGAATCCCACGGATGGAAACGGGTTTGAAGCGCTCGTACTCTACGGCCGCCAGCTTTCATAAGTAGATGGTAACTCATGTTCAGAGGTTGCTAGGTAGACCGGTAACAGGCCTTAAGACGTTTCCATGTCACAGACTGAATTAGACTATAGATATTGCTGGTTCATCATCCCTTTGTTAATTTACAATATGTGGCAATTCTCAAATACATTTCATTCCGTATTGTTTTTTACTCCCAATTAGTCACAAATATACTCTTCCTTTGTGATATTGGCTCCAATCGTTACGGAGTGGTTTGATTGAGGCGGCTGTAATGGTTATTTTATCCATTAATTTGAATTTTTCCCTTAATATTTATTGATTTAAATCCTTTTGTCTAAAACAATGTAAATTTGTGAAACGTGGCCATCATCAATTTGCAGACTCCGGATGCATCGTCGCTTGTAGTGGAGGACTATTAGATGACACCAGAGATGACTTAAAGAAGCTAAAAGTAGAAATGTTCATCAAGTTTTGTGAACAATAATTAAAATAACAATAGAAGGTAACTATTCATTTCAGCCCGTTGGTTTATGATTCGTCTGAGGACAAGTCAGCCTGAAATCTTAACAGAAGTTCTGGCACGGACACGGGCACAGCTTGCCTGCTTTCTTCTCAACTTTTTTCTAACACTGACTGTGTTAGTGTAAAAACTGCAAGTTCTCAATCAAAAAGTTGGATCTGTTTTTTTTTTTATAACTAACAAAAAAGAGCATCAGATTCTGAATTCTTCTCAGGAGGCCGCTGATCAAGACCTTTGTGAAGACAAAGCCGGCGTTGCATTAGACACGTTTCCATCATCTTCTACCAGTTATCAGAAATTAGTCAACTAATTTCATTATTTAAACATATTCATGATTACAATGAAACTAGAATAAATAGTAAATTCAAGCAGGTTCTAGCTACTAGGTTTCTGCCCTTTGAAATAGATTACTGTACTACATCAACTGACATGAAGGCTTCATTGATTTTACTTAATGAAGGTCGTCTCAACACATAAACCATTGCATTTTCCTACAGCTATTCACAAGGGATGTTTACCATTTGAAATGTACTTGCATAGTAATGCCACTAGGTAACTATTACATATGTTTCATGTTTGAGCTGCGAATCTTAAACCCCGACTGCTGCTGACTCAAGTTCGTACAACTCGTCTCAGTGTTACTCCCCACGAGCTGCAGACCAACGCGTGGCGTCATCCAGCGATGCGGTTGCAGAGGTCGAGAGTGAAACGTAGGAGAACTACGGTAGCCGAAGTGAAAATGCAAATGGCCCCATCTACAGCCGGCGTTCGGTTCGGAAACACGGCAGACGGTTTGCATGTTCTCCCGCATGTCAGCCTGCGTTCTCTCTCCGTCTTCCGAACCAAAGCCCGATGACATGCGGCCTAAGACAATTGATTACTCTGAATTGCTTGAGATTGTGAGTGGTTCTCTGCCTCTGACAACCTGTTGAGGGAGAACGCTGCCTTCAGCCTGCACTCCTTAACGGGGAGTCGGATGATGGAGGAATAATAAAGAAACATACTTAACAATATCTTCAATTTTTGCCAATAGACATCCCCCCCCCCCCTCTCTTGGTTATTTAGGAGATGCAAAATGTTTCTCATTTCAGGTCCGAAAAAGCACAAATGCTGCACAAAGACCAGCCGCTGTTTTTTAGGTGGACGTAATTGGACAAGTGGCATTCGTTTCTTATGTATCGCATTTGTGTATTAAGACTTGGTATGTGTCACGGCCAGCCGTTACACACACATGTCACTGACCGTGACACAAATCACAGAGTGTCAAAAGTCTGTGACACACACACACATACAGACACACACGCAGCATTTCCACAAAAGATGCCACACATGCAGCACCCGAAGGAGAGCCTTGTTAGTTGTGAGGAGGTGGGTGTTGACTTGTGTCAGGATTGGATTTGTGTCTAATTGGACGGACAGAAACCAGACAACAATAGGGGTTCTGACCCCTTCAGCCTCCTTTATCAAGATGACATCATTAGGGTGGGAGCAGACCTGCACGCCCACATACACGGGCGTCTTTGACAATGCAGCTCTACGGGTGTACAGTGAAACCGACGCAGATCCGAGCTGTATTACAGGCGCACGAGGTGTCACAATGCACAAAGTGGTACCTGCTGTCGAGCGGGAGAGCGCTTTTATTTGAACCTGCGTAACAAAAACACAGCCTGTCCCATCGGAGCAGGCCTCCTTAATGTCTGCGTGCCCAAATACTCTGATGAACCAAAGAATATCGTAAGATACCTATTCAGTTTCATTAATTTATGTGCAAGATCACACACTCTGGGACCAGCTGATTGTTTTTCACATAATTCAAACTTTTATTTGATCATCAAAATTACCGCTGGTGAATTTTGTGGTTGCCGACTAAATGATTAATTGAATAATTGTTTCAGAACGGATTTTTTTCAAATCGTCAAGCTCTGCAGAACACGGCTGTCACCTCGCTCGGGGTGGTCTGGTAATGAGCTGCGTTAGCGCCTAATCAGCACATTATCAAGGCAGCACACTCCGCTTGTTTTACCGCTCTGTGTGTGTGTGTGTGTGTGTGTGTGTGTGAGTGTGTGTGTGTGTGCGCGCGCATACGTTCGAGTGTGCGTCTGGGAGTCCCCATGCACCTCCCTTTCAAAGGGAGGTATTGCTAGTGGCGTGTGACCTTTCTGAGGCCGAGCAGTTAGCGGGACGATCCCGGAGCCGGCCGAGGTCTGCAGTCTGCCGCGATGTTGTAAAACTCCGCTGCGCCGTGAGAGCTCACACACTCTTGGCTATGGTTACTGTCTATCAGACACAGTTATTACTGATACAAGTGCAAGTCCCGCGTTACTTCATCCATGTTGTGTGATAATAATGTCTTGGCTCAGCGCACACTGCAGGCTGCAGAGGCGGTGGAGCAACACTGGCCTCGTACTCTTTGTTCTTCAGATGCAGCTTCTGCTCCGTTGTGGTAACACAGGCGGTGTTGCATAATGCCACCTTTTGTTATGATACCTACCTTTTGTTATATGTGTCACTTTATCTCCTTTGTTTTTCTAACCTTTTGTTTGACCTGTTTCTGGCTCTTGTATAAAGCAGAAGAAACAAATACATAATACAATCACAGAATAGTAGAATTTAATCAAGATCTCATTGTGCATGTGTATTATATAGTTGTACTTTTCAAGGCCTTACAAAAGCTTTTTTTTAACCTTTGAATCACATGATTTTCTTCTCAAGTTGGTTGGTCCCTCTTTTGAAGTATCGCAACACGTATTGGAGGGATTGCCATACAGTTACTTACATTCATGGCCCCCAGCTCAACCAAGTATCTCACTGGTCGCCACAATTAATAGAAATCCACATCTACTAACTGACTTCATGCTCATCATGTATAACCATTTTTGTGCAGCAGAATTTAGGTTGTCATTACCTCTTGCTCAATGTGTTATTAGTAGGGCTGTCAACATTAATGCATTAATGTATGTGGTCAATGTAGCCTAGATTAATGCAGCAAAATATTTTAACGTTTGTTTGTTTACTTCCGGTTAACCTCGGAAACAAAACGGCCGCTAGCTGCAGTCAGTTACATCAACAGCTTTTTGCATTGGAAGTAAAACAAACAATGGTGCGACATACAGCGGAGAACTGTGCAGAGGAAATAATCGTGTCAAACAGAAGACAGTGAGTGTCAAAGGGACCACTGAAAGCACTGCTATGCTAAGCTGGCTGCTAGGCTACTTCCATCTCAACATCTAACGTTACCCTGCGCGGCACACAGTCTGCAGAGGACCACCACCGTGTCCCTAAAAGACCTGGTTTGAAAACGTTCTGGCTAAATGCGGGGAGATTGTTGGCACTTCAAACACAGCTGTTAAATGATGGAGAGTAAGAACTCTGCCTCCAAGATGATCAAATGTGTGGAGTTTTGTGTTTACAATAACATCTAAAATACACAAAGTTTTCTAAAGTGATCTAAAGAGATTACTCATTTTTTAAAGATTTAGTCTTTAGAAGAAAACATTTATTATAGACATCATTGTGGATCACAACAACAACTGCAACATCCATTAATCGCCATTAATGAATTTCAAAATGTGCGATTAATCAGTTAATTTTTTTAGTCTCTGGACAGCCCTAGTTATTAGAGAGTCCTCTCATGATCCCTTGTTGGGATCCTGAATGCCAGGTTGGAAACCACTGTTGTAAGATTGCCACAACTTGGGTATAGACATTTCCGCTCGTTGGCTTTGGTTTTAACAGCGCACATTTTAAACCAAAGTTACTTGTACTTTAGATGTACGTTGTGTTTGGTAGCAGGTATTAGCATGCTGAGATGCTAAAGCGGGGGACATCCTAACGCTTCACTTCAACATGTTAGCATTGTCATTGTGAGCAGGAGCCTCAAAGAGCCATTAGCGCTGCCATAGATTGTTAGGTTTGTTTGTTTGAGTTAATGACTTCACCTCGTTCAAGAGAATGTTTCCGTTTCATCGCTGCGCTTTATGGGACCTCGGCTCATTGGTTTTCATATGTGATCATTATTCAATCAACAAGACCTCTCTGACTCCTTGTTAACAAAATGCAATAAGCAACCGGGTGTGCTCACCAGATGAACAAGACAAGTACAACCGCAGCGCCTCAACATCTACTGCAGTTCTTATTTGATTTTTGTTGTCTGATATTTGTGCACACAGCGATTGTTATTATACTATTGTTTTCACAGGCGCTCTGCCAAGCCAGTGAGCAGGTGGGAGGGTGCTAGTTCTAGTTGTCAGTAAAAAACAAACCTAGTAGGAGTGATGTTACTGTCCATCCTGCACTTGCATCTCTCACTTTTAAACACCAGAGACGTCCTCGACTGTGGGACGAGGCTCTCTGGCAGGCCGCTGTAGAGCAGCGTCCATATAATACACATATGGCATTTACACCTGGCTGAACTGCAGTTCTCCTGATCCTTAACATCCAGCAAAGCGAAGTAAACACGGACTCTGGCAGCTTTTTTGACTTTATATCAAAATGTTGACGCTTCTCTCTCCTCCTTCCTCTTCTAAGGTAAAAGCCCTCACGCTGTTTGTGACCCATTACCCTCCTCTGTGTGAGCTGGAGCGGGTGTATCCTGAACACGTGTCGAACTACCACATGGCTTTCCTACTTAACGACGCTGACATGGCCGCTGACACTGACGGTAGGTGTGTGAGCGCGTATGAAAATGCTTTTTGGGCCATGTATTTATGCTGTGTGTACATAAATATGTGGGTTTGTGTATGCGGACAGACGGAGAAGTTCGGCTAGAGTTCATTACGTTCCTCTACCAATTAACGGGAGGCGCCGCAGGGCGGAGCTACGGCCTGAACGTCGCCCGATTGGCTGACATCCCGGACACCGTGCTACGCACCGCAGCACGCAAAGCCAGAGAGCTGGAGAGCGTGGTCAACGGCAGGAGGTAAGACCGACGCCCGGGACCATATCTCCAAGGGCCACGCAAGCAATATACTGTGCTGTGGAGTAGAATTGTGAAAGATGTGCGCGTTTACCTGTTTACCTGTGGGCTGAAAGCAACACGTTGGGCTGTGATGCTTTGGTGCGTTTTGAAGGGCGCTGTTAGAAAAATATGCTGTTGACGTTAAAAAGTAAACTGCCACAGTGCGTCGTTGTCAAATACATAGTTAAGGTTGAGCCTGGTTTAAATGTTTTGTGTGGGCTTTTTACAGCGGCCCTTTGGAGCGACGCTGTTTTGACGAACGGGCCTCATTCAAATTAATAGCGGCTCCGTTTTTCACTCAGACCTGAATGCAAGTTGTTACATAAGCACAATAATGCAGGGTTGTTATGGAGCTTGACCCTATTAAAAGCTAAAAGTCTGACTGTCGGCCTCTGCAGCCTTCATTGTTTTTCAACTTTTTTACTCCTTAAAGAAAAAATATTCAATTCCTGTGCTTTTGGAGAGTTTCTTATATTCAGCTACAAAGTTTTTTGAAGCCCCAACACTCAGATAAACTTTATAGCTTTATTATTAATTATTTGTACCAATATTTCCTGGAAATCCGACTGGGTACCGATAACTGTAGCAGCTCCAAACACTGCAGACAACTGAAGATACATGGAAGCGTAATTTAAGGATAATGCATATAGTCAAATCAATGTAATTCACTCAATGACAAGAGCGACTCACAAGAACCAGTCGCGAACAACAACAGTTTAAATTTATTTAAAACAAAGCATGACAAAACAATCCATCAAAACTACGCCCATTCAAATATTATTTACATGAGAAAATAATAAAAACAAAACAAAAGAACAAGTTAACAAGCTACTAAAAAACACAAAAGCAGTTCACTATTGCCCACTGACCAATCAGAGCGCACGTTACTGCAGCGCAGTACGTCAAAGGCTGCGCCCAACATTCCAAACTAAAGGTCTTATTGGTTGCAACTACAGAAAGTCGTCCGCTTTGATTCTGAGACATGCAAAACCTGTTTAGAAATGTTGATGTTTAGGGAGGCAGCTGTAATCACCTCTGCTTTGCCAATATCTGCCTTTATTTAGCTGGGTTTGCAGTGCCTTTTAAGATATTCCTTTATCAATAGTAATAGTTCTTAGTTTTTATTTGAAATGGATCTTCCTAATTTCTTCTGATCCAATTTAATGGATATTTAATGAAGGTGGGGTTAATTAAATGTACCTATATCTTTTTTTAATGCTGACATAGAAACGTTTTTTTTCTCAGAGGAGGAATCGCTCGCTGCCAGGCACAGGTGTCCCTCTTACGACTGAGTTAGCAAGCTCAATACGGCAAATGTTCTGGTGCTGGTGCTGTCGAAGCGTCGGCGTACGGCCCCTTCTGCAAACACGGCCTCCCCTCTCTGTAAATGTGTACACTACATCCCCTTGCTCTGTAACACACAGCCTGCTGGGAGTTGAGTGCTGCTTAAGCCTCTTCCTCAGTAATCCTCACCATATGAAATATTTGTCAGCACGCACCCACACACACAAACCCACACGCAAATAAACACGCAGCCATACTTCAATGTACTCCTTCCTATATGAAATGTTTGTCCTTTTGTTGGAGTGCAGCCGAGCTGAGCACACAACTATCGCACACACAGGAACTGGACTGCTGGTTGGAGGTTTTACAAGCTACAGTGGGGGGAACAAGTTTGTGATACACTGCCGATTGTGCAGGTTTTCCCACTTACAAAGCATGTAGGTGTCTCATTAGGTACTCATAGGTTTAAAAGAAATCCAGAAAAAAAGGGGAAAAGGGCAACTAAGGAGTGTCTCTGTAAGAAGCATCTCAAGGTCCTGCAGTGGCCTAGCCCGTCTCCAGACCTGAACCCAATAGAAAGTTTCTGGAGGGAGCTGAAAGTCCTGAAACCTGAAGGATCTGGAGAAGGTCTGTGCGGAGGAGGAGGCCAAAATCGCTGCTGCAGTGTGTGCAAACCTGGGAAAGAACTACAGGAAACGTATGATGTCTGTAATGGCAGACAAAGGTTTCTGTACCAAATATTAAGTTTTCTGAAGTATCAAATACGTATGTCATGCAATAAACTGCAAAATATTTTTTTTAAATCATACAATATTATTTTCTGGATTTTAGCTTTAGATTCCGTCACTCACAGATGAAGAGTACCTATGATAAAAAATGAGACTCCTACATGCTTTGTAAGTGGGGAAAACCTGCAAAATTGTGAGTATATACAACGTTTACAATATTTTGCTCAAGCAACATTTCTGTGTCTTTATCTCTAGGAACAAAAAGAAACTTCTCACAGATCTTTTGAGCGTCTCGGACAGATCGTCCCTGATGGAGTGGCTGCATTCAAACCCTTGACTGCAACACCGGTCGACGCCATCAAGAAGAGACAACCCAGCTATCACCGGAGGAGTAGGCTGAGAGAAGAACATTGAAGTCTGAACTTCTAAACACTGATTGGAGTAGAGTGGTTGTTGCTGCTCTTTTCTTTAACTCAGGGTTGGTTTCTCATCATCATCTGTACTGTAAACTAATTCTCCAAATGTCAGTTAATAGTGTCATTCTGGTGTGGATCAAATCAATCTGTGGCATAAATGTGTTTGGTTATTAAATGATCAAAAAACAGTGTGTGTCACACCTGCTGTCTTTGAAATGAAGGGAGAACTTCACTGATGGAGCATGTAGCACGTCTGCATCGACTGAGTATAAAAAAAAGCATCTTTCTTCCGTGTAAATTTGTGGATACCTACATTCCATTTGGCAGGATATGGGTGCGTGATAATATAATTTAGGTCTTAATACCATTAGGATCAGATATTTTTCCATAACTCTTAATTTTACGCTGCCTCTGTTGACATCACATGAGACGTATTTGTTCAGCTGGTGTCTCAAATGGCTTTATACAACTTTTTTTTCACATACGCAGCGGTACTCAATATTAGATCATCCTTTAAATCAACGTTTCTTTGTTTAGCGTGGCAGAAATTCGTATGGAACGTTTGACTGTGATTTTTTGTTTTGTTTTGTGAGAGGTTGATTCGTTTTCTTTCTTGTGTATTTGGTGCAGAAAGAAATCACAACGTTTGCCCCTGCGCATACCTGCATTACATCTCTAGCTCTCTCACTCCCTCTGAAACACACACGCACGCGCACACACGGACACAACAAACCCATGCTCCGCCTTTAATTCCGTCCAGAGAGAGAGAGAGAGAGAGGTAGAGGTTGTGAGAGGGAGAGAGAGAGAGAGAGAGAGAGCGCGTGTGCGTGCGTCAAAGCCGGTTAGACTTTATCCAGTGTGTGATTCTGTCACTCGAGGGTTCTCCCCTCTCTGAACCACACACCTATTGCTGTGTTTGTTCCGCGTGCTTTTTCTCTTCTTCACTTTTTTCATTTGCCGAGCAGCACGGATTGATTCCCGGGACTCACCTTCACTATGAGTTCCTCGGCTGAAGCGCTCCCGCAACTTTTCGGTGCGCCGGTGCGCCGCTAAGCCAAGTTCACACGCAAAGTGCCCCCCACGCTCCCCTCATCCCCGGGCGAACGCAGGCTCGCCCTCCTTCCCCAGCGACCCGACCCGACCCGACCCGACCTCCCCACAACGTGCGGCAAACATGCAGAAGAGCGTCCGCTACAACGAGGGGCACGCGCTGTTTCTGTCGGCGCTCGCGCGTAAAGAGGGCACCAAGCGCGGTAACCTGTGCAAGAAGTCGGCGGAGAACAGCCGGTGGCACGAGAAGTTCTTCGTGCTCTTTCAGAATATACTTTTCTACTCCGAGAACGAGCAGAGCGCGAAACCCGCCGGGATTTACCTGTTGGAAGGATGCACTTGCGATCGCTCACCGGCCCCCAAGATGTCCACCACCGGGAAAGAAGCGATGGAGAAACAGGTGAGGAGAGTTTTAATGGAGACAGAGAGAAGTCCGCAGCGGAGGAACGGTTTCACATCTAGTGGTACAGCTATATTTTGTGCCTCATGTAACCCCTGTTTTGCAGAGAGATTTACTCCTGCTGGGGGGGTTTTCTTTCAAGTTTTTCTAAAATCAAAATAATAAAGTTCAAATGGTGACTTTGCGCTCAAAGTATGAAGAAGAAAAGAGCAGAAGTGGCTCAAGTGCCTCATCAGCAGCAGCTATCAGCCCCCAATGATTCACCCTCAGTCTGGATGTCTTCAATGAAAACCAATAATTAAATCAATTATTTTCAACATTTCTCCCTCTGACTCTTTTGAGGTCATGAAATTGCTGACTGCAGCCTGTGTAGATCTGTCACATTTCAACATGAACAAAGTCCAGTTATTCTGTCCACCACCTTAAGTGAGACGTGTCTTAGTAAAATGCATTTAGTGTCAGCGGGAAGCAACAGGTTCTTTTGAGGCGTTCAAGCTCACAAAAACGTTAACGTTAGAGACACTTTTTCATTATACACCACGAAATATTAATTGCCAAGATGCCATGATTTTTATGGCTGTCCAATTATGCTTCATTCAGTTACTACGGTTTGGCATATTTAAAAATCTAGTGATCCGACTCACAATTTAAAACAAACCTCAGTTGATTTGAGAAATGCATGTTTGTGCATTTTGGAATAGTAACATGCTGAATCCTGCATTGCTGAAAAAGGTCAGAGCTTCTTGACTTTAAAGCAGATTTTCTTTGTCGATTCCGTCGCTGCCTGCGTTTCTGGAAGTTGCCTCGGCATTGTTGCACCAACAGCTCGGGAGACCTTGTTGCTAGGAAACCTTTGAAATCCCCTCTGCACACGCTTCCCATTGAGAAAAGATGCATTGGACTATCGTCGCTGCCACCAATCCAAGGATTGCTAGAGTAAAAAACCCTACTTCATGACAGTAATCACAGAAATAAACAAACAGTATTCAGGCGGCCTCAGGGAATGGGTTATGTGTGTGCACAGGCATTGTGGCCATTAAAGAGAGTGTGTGTGTTTGTGTGTTAGGGGGCACGGGAGAGGCCATTGCCTTTTTTTGAGAAATACTAAGTGCATGCACAATTAATCACATGAGAGGTCGGCAATAGTCACAAATCATTACTCTTAAAATATCCATCTCCACCAAACTCCCCCTGCTCGTACAGTAGATGTCTGTCTCAGATGTACAGTAAGATGTATGCAAAGGGAGAGAAGGCTTCAGGAGAGCCATGTGGTTTGAGTCAAGTCAGTACAACCAGACGAGTGTTTCTTTCTACGTTTTTTGTCGTTATTATCAAAGATGAAAGACGCATCTCTCTGTTTGAGGGAAACATTACATGTGGCCAGCGTTGTGCGGTACGGCCAAAAATCCATATCACGGTATTTGGAAAGATTCTGACGGTATCTAGTGTATCACGGTATTGCTTTTTCAAGTAAACACATTAAATCATTGAAAAAAAGCTCCGAACAGCTGGTCGCCGCTCGCTGGCCAACTTACTGGCGTAACTGGCAGGCGAGTTAGCTTGTTAGCTAGTTGTGGGGCTGGTGTTGCCACCAGAGGCTCGACAGACTAACGTAACTTATGTCCGATTTTCCAAAACCAAAAACCCTCTAAACAGACACAGCTCCTCTCTTGTGGACAAGTTGTGTCTCTGGTCTCTCGTTGTTCCTCCTGTATCCCTCTTTTCTGTGTTTTCATGTAACGAAAGGGTTAGTTCTTGTTGTGAGCTTTACCCAGCATGCAGTTCGGTGGGGTTATTTTTATAAATGTACGATTATTAGTGTTACAAATTGTTTATGTGTCACAAGCTGTCGTGGTAGTTTACCCTGTTAAAGAGTTTGTTTTGGGTTTTTCATTGTTGTTATAAAGTTATAACTAGGGCTGTAAAAATGAATGCATTAATCCGGTGGTCCCCAACCACCGGAAGTTTACCGCGGAAACGAAACGGCCGCTAGCTGCAGTCAGTTACATCAAGATGGAGAGAAATTTTTGCATTGGAAGTAAAACAGACAGCTGTGCGACAGTCTGCAGAGGACCACCACTGTGTCCTTAAAAGACCGCGGTTTGAAAATGTTCCGGCTAAATGTGGGGAGATTGTTGGCCCACACAGCCGTTAACTGATGGAGACTTGAGAGCAAAGTGCACAAAGACAGCAGGAAGAGTCGTTACTTCAACATGTTCCACCAGGTGGAATCCGGCCTCCAAGATGATCAAATGTGTGGAGCATTAACAATTAAAGAACAGTCTCTAAAATACACTTTCTAAAGTGATCTAAAGAGATTACTTTTTTTTAAGATTTAGTCTTCAGAAGAAAACAAACATTTATTATAAACAGCATTGTAACAACAACAACTACACAATTCATTAATCGCCATTAATCGAGATTAATGAATTTCAAAATGTGCGATTAATTAGTTCAATATTATTAACTAATTATGATCTATTGACAGCCCTGGTTATAACCATGACTCAACACAGTAAGACAAGCTCTGACCGCTGGGCGCTCCTCGATGACGTGTAAAAATAAATTCTGCTGCCTGTCGAAGAGCAACATCAGTTGTTACGGCGTAACACCAGTATGAACGATATGTGAAAAGTTATATGGTACGGAAATCTTATACCGGTGTACCGTGCAGCCCTACGTGTGGCTAACATCGTTACTGCAGCTTGGCAGTTTCATTTTAGCTCTCGCACTGTCTCACTCTCTCCCCATCTGTCTCACTCTCAGGCTACAGCTGTGATGTTTAATTAGGGTGATTTACAATTTGCCCACAGCTGAAACCAGCGCAAACCAGGGTGTGAAGAACCAACATGAGAGTGACATCTTTATCTGGGTTATGGGGTTGTGGCTGTGTGCTCTCGCGTGTTTCTGGACCACTGTGGCTCGATCCAAGACAATTTCCCTCTGATCCCCCGGCTCGTCTTCCCCGGGTGAGCGCTTGGTTCGGGATAAAGTGAGAGAAGGCCTCCCATCTTTTGCTCTCCATCTCTCTCTGTGAGGTAGAGTGAGTCTGCCAGCACGCTGCAGTATCACACCCCCACAGTGGGCCACAACGCAACCAGGCAAATAGCACATTCCTACTGTCTCTCTACGGTACTATAGACAAAAACCCTTCAAATAATATGGGTCCCATGGTCAAGTGTAGGTTAAAGGTCTCGGGGAGAAGCCCGCAGGTCGTGAGCCATCATCTTCCATCCCATCGATTCAAGGCGTTGCTTTCTCTCTGTAGGTTTGGAGCGTCGCCTAGTAGCGCTCCAGGTAGCATCCAAACAAATATGGATGAAATCAAATCTTTTTTCAAGCTGAGAAATTCATTCAAATCTACACCTTGACTCAATGGGGATGTGATTTGATTTTGGGGGTCAAGGTCCAAAAAAGAGACCATTTATGATCAAATTTGACCACCTGGACTGAAGATTTAATTGATTTGATTGTGAAACCGTACTGTGACATCAGACAACACGTTATAAGCCATAATTACTAATTTCTCACAAATGGCATACAACGACAACGTCGGTCATTCTAATTCTAGTTTGCTTCAAAGTTTTAATCACATTAATCCATTAAGCAGCTCGAAAGCTCTTTTTCAGATTGAGCAGAAGAACCAAGAACAGAAGAATGAAGTGAATGTAACAGAGGTTATGTAATGCAGTGGCATACAACGACAACGTCGGTCATTCTAATTCTAGTTTGCTTCAAAGTTTTAATCACATCCAACATTTTTTTCTGAAAAATGTTAACAATAAGAGTAAACATTGTCCTCCCTGTGGTTAAAAAAGGAGAAGATGAGACATCCAGTTGTTTGTTTTCCTGACAGTGCTTCAAAACTCCCCCAGAAAAGGAAAATAAGAGCATGCCGTATTACAAGCTTCTAAGTGCAGCCAGATATTTCTCTACATGGCAGCAAAACCTTTTGTTTGCTGCCATGTTTACGATTTGTGTTTGAAGGCATTACAAGATAATCAAAATCAGCCTTACGTATTTAATGAAAGGGAATCAAACTGTGTATTTATGGGCAGGCCTTGTGTTTAAATAAAATATAATGATTTTTAAAACGCTATTATTTACTGGAATTAGTTTCATTTGAAATGAATGGTTTTCATAAATGTTGTATTTTGCACTTGGAGGAAATGCTGCTTGGACTTAAGCGTCGATTGAGTATTAGAGTAGATGGGGAATATCAGTGGTTTTCCTCCAGTACACACATGCCAATTATATTCCTTTGTTTTGGTTTTAAGATCATTTAAGGCTCTTCATCATCATCAAAGATGTTTGGAAAGGGAAGGAAAAAGAGATCTGTGACCTTCCCTCCATCCGTACGTCATGCACATGGCAGTGAGATAGGAACTGTCATAGAGAGACAAATATCATTCCACTGCAAAGTCGTATCTAGAGTGTGTTTGTAGAGTTCTTTTCAACAGTGTTCAGTAGACTTAATGCAAGACCAGGTGAGTTGACACCTTTGAGTGTAAATGTCAGTACTACCTCCTGATACATGTGTGTGTAATTATTCTCATTGCTCCAAACATCCGTCTCAGAGCCTCACATCAAGAAACCGATCCTTTCCGTATTACTGGAGTCTGATCTGCTTCCCTCCAAAATGTAGCTCTTCGTTTTCCTCTTAAGTCATCTGCCAAAGGGTTGAGCCATCACGGAGCTCATTAGCGTCGGATCCACGTTGTTGTCCTGAAATCCATCTCTCGTGTCTGAGATGTTGCACTCATCAAAGTGCAAAGGAGAATGAGCAGTGGATTTGACTTCCAAAGAAACCCTTCTGGGCTCAACCAGCTTGTAATGCTAAGCACACACTCCATGTTCACGTGTCTGAACTACGACAAACAGCTCGGATTAGAGGACGTTGGCAAATAAGCAAATAAATTATTTATTCTCATCATTATACAATCATGTCAGAGAACTTGCCATTGGTGAAAAAAAAAATTATCATCATCTCTATAAAGCTT